TTGTACTAGTTTGACTTTTATGATTGTTGTGAAAAGCAGCGGCAGCGTGTGCAGCAGCAAGAGTAGCTAGTTCATAAAATGAAGCGGGATCAAAATGACGACGAGTTTGTTTCGTTGGAGATGAAGAAGAAAAATCACTCGGTAGGGATAAGGTATGATTGGATGAAGAAGGTGTCGGAGCTTGTAAAGATGCAACAACGGAGTTTATGGATTGACTTGCTTCAACTATTTGTCGTTTCAATCTAGAATGTTATCGAATGTTCCATTGTCTATTGGTTTTAAAAGAGATCTGCTTACTTATTGCGTCGATTTTGGAACCAAATCTAATAGAAAGAAAGCAAAAGTGATCTTCAATGTTTTCTTACAGAAAAAATGTTGTTCCTCTTACTTTAACTTGTTGCTCAGTGAGTTGTAAGCCTTGTGCGAGATTGGCTCGATCTGCACTGGAGAGATAACGTTTTCGATCGAATGTTGTTTCTAATTGAAAAATTTGTGTACGTGAAAAGACCGTACGTGTCTTTTTCTTTCGATGTATGATTTCATGATGATTATATTGATTGAGAATTCCATCGTCGGAACAACTGTCTTCATCATCACTTGTTGAAACTGCTGAACAATCACTACTGCCAATATGATGTTCATTCGTCGGTGACAATGATTGATGATGTTTGATTTTGAGAAACAACGGTTGAGGTTTGTCAAGAATATTATCGATGGAAAAGCTTAACTTTTTTTGTGCAGCTGAATCTTGTTCGTCTTCCATGTTAATTGTTTGATTAATGTCTAACGGAAATTACATAGACTAACTTTTTTTTTGTACAATTATCTTCAAGCTGTGTTTTGTGTGTCTCTCTCTTTCCTTCTCCTTCTCCTTTCTCCGTTTCTCTCTCACTCACTCTCTTTCGCCAATCAAGAATGAGAACCAATAAGAAAAAGAACGTCTATGGCTAATAATCGTTTGTCAATCGGCCAATCGGCGACAATTTGAATCTTTGAAGGAAAAAAAATGATATGAACACAGAGAGAAAGAAAAGCGAAACTGACATTATCAAATGGAGCAGGAAATGAATTTGATGTGCATGCTCTTAGTTTCCTAAGGTGATAATCGACTGAATGATGAAGAGCCCAATTAAATCAATTTGCTGACTTAACTTTGTCACGCTCGTTGGAAAGGGACGCACACACAAAAAAAACCAACATGATGATAATAATGATGAAAATTTTGATCTATTTATCAATTGGATGTTCGACTTCATTTCGCACCCTTACCATCTGTATCGATGTTCATTTGTTTCTTAATAGCTTTTGCTCTTTTGTCGCATGGGGACTTCGCTTGATTCATTTGCCTATGTTATGATGCTGTCACTTGATAATGTATCCAACGCTCTTGTTCTCATATTTCAAAAGCAAAATGTGCATTAATCGGATTTGATCCAGCAAATAATAATGTACGCATTCTTCTTCACCTATCGATTGCGCGAGCATCTCTATCTATCTATCTATCTGTCGGTCGGTCTGTCTGTCTGTCTCAGGGGGACAACGACGAGAAATCAGAAGCATGAGCACGCCTGTCATTTGACATTAATAAGGCGGGCGTTTTCTTTCTGTCGTTGTGAAAGTAAAATGGGTCCATTCGCATTCAGATCAAACTAAATGAGATTCGATAAGGCTCGCTGAATAACTGTTGGAAAATGCAATTAATTCAAATGTCATCTTTCGAGGACTGACTGCATGAAACAAAAGAGAAAAAAGTTATTTCACTAGATAAGAATATGAAAATTATCAGAATGTATCTCTTCGACGTGAATTCAATCTTTTTGTCTTATCATCAAACAAATTTGTGTCAACGATCAGTGTTGTTTTTTCTTCTTCTTCTTCTTCATAATAGCGGCACCCCTGAAGCAGCCAGTTCGATGGCAATTATCAGGTGTAAATATGTGTATGTTAAAAAACAAGAACTAACACTGATCATCAAACGGATGGGAAAGTTCAATGTGCAATACATTCTTTGGAAGAAACAAGACAAACGACAATCCATTACACCATCTCAACAAGATGTTATTGAATTCGTCGAGACGAGTGATGTCATCGATATTTCTCTTGAAAATGATTAAAAGCGAACGACTTTATTTTGATAAATGATTAAATACTCTTTGGCAGAGATTTACCATTTATCGATAGAATTGTTCTTTGAACTCGGTCAGTGGCACCGTTCAATGCGGACTTTTGCCTGTCTGATTGAATATACCTTGTCTTGTGTGAAAGTGAACATGCAATCATGAAAATTCGTTTGTACCCACTTATCAATCTGCTTCTTTTTATCTTTGACCAACCCGAATCAGTTATTCTGCTTTTCACGATATGAAAAGCATGTCATCCTATCATTATAATTAAGTGAGAAAATGATTCTAAATATAAACAATTACCAGTCGGAGACGGTCTTTTTTTAGTTTTCTCAGCAGGAGAGACTCCTTTGATCCTCCATGAAAGTTTATTAGTAATTCAAGATGGATATACCGGTGACAAAGAACAACGAACTGATGTTTTCACAATGGTGGTAATGAAGCGAGAGAATGCACACAGATATTCAAATCATATCATGATGACAACTTTCACTCCCATCTTGTTTCTCTTGCCTTATCGATATCCATATGAACAGCAAATTGAAATGTTTGCTTCATTGAACATTGACACAAGATGATAATGGACAGACATGATGCGTTTTATTAATATTTATTTCGTATTCATTCAACATCAATGATTTGATGAACAAATTCGATTAGTTAATAATGAACAAGAAAACGATTGTTTTCAATGATTAACAACATCTATAATTACTGTTAATTTCATCGTGGATGTTAAGTGATTCTCTCAATGCATGTCATTAGTTTCATTGCTCTTCGTGGCGTCAAGACATAGATGCAATTAATCGCCAATTGATTGTCTCATACGGAATGTGACGCCAAGAAACTTAACTTTTTTTTTCGTGTGTCTTTTCCTAAAGGATGTGCAAATCTGTTTGTCTAATGAACCGTCATTTCATCATAATTGAAAAACTATTAATAGCATGCTGGTAACGAAAAGGACTCAAAGAAGTAGATGCGTGATGAAGCCAATCAGATTACCTTTGTTTCTTTCTTCGCGCCCGTCGTCTTTCCTTACTAATGCATGTTACTTCTCATCTTAAGGTAAATGAACTCGACTCGCTCATTGAGGAAAAAAAAGGCTAAATTGAAATCGAAAGGTGAGCACTCTATACCGGCACATGCTTCATTAAATTTTCATATTAGCTGTTGAACTAAGGATGTTAGACAGTGTCATTAACTAATTTTCGAGTCGTGTTTTATGATTACTATTTATAAGAGGTCAATCCAAACTACTGTGATGTTGATTCGTTTTAATGGATTGATATTCAAACATGGAAGAATTCTGATTTTCTCTAATATATTACATGTCATGTTTCCTTTTTCACTTTCATCAAAAGCTGAAAGTATTTCTCCACCATTTTGTTAAATCGACTTTCATACTTAATAGCAATAAAAATTGTGTTAATTTCTGTTCCAATCAAAGCTTCTCTCAGCAAAACAGCATGTTCATCTTTTTCCATCAAACTGTCAGTTCCAGGTATATCAATCAATCAAAAAATATTATCATCGCGACGAACACCATTACGGATTATCTTTTGGGTGATACTTTTGGTATCTTCAATTGTCTCACGAAATATATTGACTAATGTTTGTTCCATAATAACGGCAGATGGCCAATATGCTAATATTTTCTAGGTTGGGTCTTATTCAATCAAAGGTTCAATCGTTTCTATGATCTCTGCTGTGCTTAAATATATGCAATAGTCTTATGAGTATTCTATCTTTGTTCTACTTTGTTTTTTCTTGTTCTGTCGGTGATATTGCTATACGATAGGGATTTGACTTAATGCATTTTAATTCAACATTAAGTGAAAAATGCGTGAAACAACTAAGAGAACTATATGTCGAAAGATAATTTGTTTGTTTCGGGTTGTAGGTGAGTGAACATTAAATTGTTCGTTTTCTTTTAGAAGAAAATTTATACATAGAAAAGGTTTTGTGAATGGGATACTTAAGTCGTTGATATCGTCTCAAAAGGACGTCAACTCTGTATAGATGAGAGATCCTTAATACATTCATTCGAATATTAATAAATTAAAAAACATAGTGGTCACCTATTAGGAAAACTTGTGTTGTCTTTGATCGATAAATGAATCAGTCATTTCGGTTAGATGAAAAACCTAACGAATAATGTACTGGTATGGTCGATCAATCCGAGCTTGAGAAAATGAAAGTTTGCCTTTCGAAATATTTTCATGGTTCGTCAGATTTTCAAGGAAATCTAACATTGTGAAATTTTTTGTAATTATCAACCATGTCAGTCCATGTTAAATTATTTTCTAAATTTTCCGTTTTAACTTCTAGTTGATATAAGTATTCTATGAGCTGTATTGATTGATGAACTAGGTTCTTTTCTGAGCCATTTAATAAATGAAGTGGATATAACGATATTTGTTTTACCACAGTACATTCATCGTTGTCACCTAAGAGTGTTGGTAACTTTTGGCACATTAACATTGCGGACAACAGTGTGGGACATTGGTACTTGATGAACACAGAGAAATACGTACATAAGCTGTTGTCGGACTAAAGACCAGGGTGTAGTTTCCTGCAGTGATGAATTACTTTTTTTCCTCATTTTATCATCATTCATTGGAGATTTGTATCGAAATGATGTATGAATGACTCGCCTTATGCAGTGAATGAATTCTTTTTATCCATATATATTATTGAATATTTATATTTGTAATCTAGATGTTAAGAAAGTCTTGGCACAAAATGTTTTCCCATTTTTCAGTCACTCAAAAGGAATTGATGAGAATCAAACGCAATTAGAAAGGTTCAATGTGTATTTTTTTTATATGAAATTTCATTATTAGCGCAGTGAGAGAATCTTTCAAAGGTCTAAACAACCACTTTGCACAAAAGTAAGCTTCATACACACTAACTAGGTAACACGGAACTATAGGTTAAAACTCACATTAATACTCTAAGTTGTAGAGTGAAGTTCTCTCTATGAAATACGCTATTGGACGGTTTCTTTTATTTCTTATAAGAGTGCTTACACATTCATCTTTGGAATCGGTCTGATTTGTCCTATCTAAGATTTCCTTTTGTATCAAAGTTCTTCGCCGAGAGAATACTTACTAATTCAAATGTATGGCTTTGGCTCAACGTAATGATCTACTCCAACAATTTTGATTATATTGGCTACCCTATAAATCTCAATTCAACTGTTTTATGTAAACTGGTTTCTAAGACCCTTGAAAGATTTTCTCATTGTACTATAACGAAATTTCATATGAAAACTTCTGGTCCTATATTCCGAAAGAGTAACACACACTAAACCTTTTTAGATGATTGAAAAATTAGAAGACATTTTGTGCCAGGACTTTCTTAGCATAGGCGAATATGATAAAGTTTATAATTCCCTTTTCTGAAAGAAAGGGTTATACAGCGATTAAATAGACGGCCCGAGATGCTAAAAGTTTGTCTCTCTGTCTGTCCAAGCCAATCAGATTACAGCATTTGATAACTCAAAGAAAACTTCACGATGGTCATACGGGAATGATTCATCATATGCAATCGAGGTCGGGGATCTCAAATGTTATGTTGGTTTTTCGAAATTCTAATTAGCTAATTAAGTAATAAAAATTTTCTTCGTTGTCGAGTAAGGGTTGATCGAAGGGTAGTCGGGGATCACGAATTCGATGCCAGTTTTTAGAAAAATGTCACAGACGGGTATCTGAATGGAAATGCTGAAGACAACTTGACGGCAATATCTAAAGAGTATCACCACTGAAACGTTCTTTTGCTTTGATATGAGCAGGAAATATTATGTCTCAGTTATAAAGCTAATCTAGCGAGGAAAAGATACGGTTGAGAAGCCATATGTTTTCTTGGGAGGTTTGTTTCAATCTTTTAAATAGACTTAGCGAATGTTATCAACTCTTATAATGTCCTATGATTCGATGAAAACTGTGTAAGAAAATTGTTAACTTCAAAATATGGGTCTTGAGAAATCAACAAACACTCGGTTAGGTTGAATAGTAAGTAAAAACATTTGATTGACTCATTGAAAATGAAATCCTTGATTTATTAGACGTATCATACAGAAACTACCAATGTGACACTCTCGGCGATTGAGTAAAAAGGTTTTGAGAGAAAATTTTTTATTAAAAGGAAAATTTGTTTTGCGTAAAAACTGCTTCTGTTTTTTTGGAGAGTTTTACTGTTTGCAGTGTTTGATCAAACTAAACGAACGAAACTTAACATTGCTTTATATTGTAGGCTAGTACCGCAATCAATCAACTAAGCAATAAAGTTGATGTTTTCCCATAATATTTTTAAGGATCGTATGATTTTCGTTTGACCTACTCGTGGATTTGTTCATTTCCATTCAATAGATATTTGTTTATGAAGAAGTGAATTTGAAACATGTGTAATTAAGTACGAATCTAAGCCACTAATCAAGTATTATAATTTGATTACGTAGTTGGAAAATTGTTTGTACGCCATGTATTTCACTTAATCACATGTAAGTTGAATGTAGAAAATACATTCGATTGTTTTTTCAGAAACAAGAAGACAATTCAGATGAATCTTTAGCTTTTTATCCCACTAATAATGAACAACAACCTATCCAGTAGCATAACTATTGAAATGATTTGATTTACCTATGCATCGGAATGGTAAACTCCCAGGTCGATCATTCCGACGACTGGATCCGTTGAAACCTGAGTCGGTTCCGGTACAGCTCTTCTCGATTCCGGCACAGTTTTCGCCGATTCCAGCAAGTTCCGGTAGGTTCCTTGCCGCCGGATTCCGGCCGGAATTGCACAGGAAATATCCGATCAGTTCCTGACCGTTTCCAGCTCGAAGTTTGCAGGAAACGGTCGGGAAATGACTGGAACCTACGCTTCGACTTCCGGCCGGAATCCGGCGGCAAGGAAATGGTCGGAGAACGAACCTAACCGGCCGGAACCGACCGTGCCATAATAACCTGGGCTCTCTTCGTTATATTTATTTGTTTACTTTAACATCATTTGTCTCAATTGTTAACTTACGAATCTTCTCGGTTAGTTAAAAGTGATGGAAGGAAGATGCGAGTTGTTAAACAAATTGATTTTTGAAGTTATACATAGTTTGGTAGCGAATTCAACGGGCTATGAAATGGTGTAATTACTTTTTCAAAAATGCTTTGTTCCCTTTTCCGAAAGAAAGAGTTATGCGGCGTTTAAACGCTGTGCTAAAAAGCTTAAAGTTTGTCTGTCTGTCCTATCCAATCAGAAATCAGCATTTCTAAAAGCAATGAAATTGATCGATAGTAGTTAGAAAATAATTACCGGAAGGGTAATCGGGGTCGAGGATCTCGAATCCGAGGTTAGTTTTTTCATGAACACTTTCTGGCCCGTTTTTTGCGACAAAGGATCAATTTTTTCAGACGATAATGTTTTAAGTGGCAATATGTAGAACAAAATGTAATAGTTGACTGACGTCCGATCGCTTGGATCTCCATAGTCATCAGCATATCAATGAGATCGCACACTTTTATAAACATCTATACTATACGAATATCATCTGATGCCAGTCATTCAAAATAATGTTTCGCTTGTCAAGTGTTGTCTTCGAGAGTCACAGCAGCACAAAGAGGGTGACTTTTAAAGAGTGAATAGAAGAGAATGAATGGATTACTTTCAAAAATGACTGTAGACTAAGTGGAAGAGTGAAAATATACATGTCACGACTAGTCGTCGACTTGTAGAATAATATTTTCAAGGACAAATTTTGTGATTTTTATAGAGCTTTAAGATTTCTTGGTCAGAACTTAATTGTTGCTCTGCACGAACATAGCTAGCAGCTATTTAAGGTTCCTCGTGGTGGAGAGAAAACTGGAACCTTTTCCAGAGAATCATATAGCTATGTAAAGCTTCTAAGTTTTTTATTATGAATTGATTTTCGGAAATGTGCTCTTTTTCGGAACGCGTCTTCGTCCGAATGAAGTTAAGATAGTAAAATGAGTACGCATGGGAACAGTTAGCCGTGAGTGGCCGCCCAAAGAGAGGCCGACGAACGACTAGATGTTTCTTTTGAAAGTTAGCTGAAAAGTGAGATTTATAAGACTACCGCATAATGTCCATAATTTTTCTAAGGTGTATATATATATACAGTAAAACCTCTCTAAAGTGAACACCAACGGGACCGGCCAAAAAGTGTTCATTATAGAGAGGTGTCACCTTAACTGAACGCTCACATATAAATAGTGCACGTATAAGGAGTGTCACAGACGGATAAGTACGCACCTTTTATTAGAGTTTTCCCTAATTATGCGATGCATAGAATAATAAAGTATTGCTTCCATAAATTGAGTTGATGTAAAATTAACGACCGTTTTTATCGATTCTATAGAAGCACCAAAACCGATCGTTAGTTTTGCATCAGCCCATTACTGAACATTTTAATCTAAATTCTACGAAAATAGTCATCAATCTTCGTTCACTTTTCTCTCAGTGGATCGTTGAATAGTTAAATAAGTGATATATCTATTTGAATAAAAAGTGAGTGTCATTCTGGCTGTTGAATACATCATTATATACAAGGTCAATCAGTTCTTTGTTGATTACATTTTCCTTGTTTTTTTTTGTTTTGTATATGTAAGATATCAATTGGATGTAAACTGTCAATTATTATTGTTCGTTTATTCGAAATATTTGATGAATTTTGTTTTAATAATTAGACTGTCAGTGAGTTTTGTTAGCATTGATTAAAAAAAAACTACAATAGACTATTTTATCTCCGGTTTCTTTCATTCAAACGCATATACTTTTTTGTACATTGGTTCATTATAGAGAGATTTTCTCCACTTTGGGACCGAAAAAAAAGCGTTCACTGTTCAGAGTTGGGAGGTGTTCATTATATAGAGGTCAATTTACAGCAGAAATTCATCGGGGGGACCGGAGTATGTGTTCAAACAAGAGGTGTTCACTATATAGAGGTGTTCATTAACGGAGGTTTTACTGTATATATATAACGTTTTTTCGAGCTTCGAGAAAAAAATATGTAGATCATGAATTTACTCAACTAAAAATGATACTGAAAGATATACTGTAGGTCACGAAGTTGTGAAGAATTTCGGCAACTTTGCTAGAGACGGACTCAACAAGAACGAGGTACTTTTTAATATGAAAATATCATTAAACACTTATTAGGTACCAACGGCTAGCCGTGAGTGGTCGACCGGAGAGAGGCCGACAAACGACTAGGCGTTACAATTTCAGAAGATTTCAGGAAGTGAAATTGGTCTAGGTAAAACATTCTGACAAATTATCAAATGATCAGATCGTTCAACTGAAATAACTTTTTTCTCTCTTTGGACGAATAGTAGCACTGTAATACTATCCTTTCAGTAGAGGGTATAGCGGCTACTAGGCCGCGTTACTTGTTATATAAAGTTTCAATATCTCGGATGAGAAGCCGATCAATTATGAACGGGTCAACTCTTCGATGTAAAAATGGAAAACTAATCGTATATGTGCCAACGGGTAGCCGTGAGTGGCCGACGAATGACTTGGCGTTTAAATTCCAGATTAATCTTAAAGTGTACACTTGGAATAGCCTTATCAGGCTTCAGCGATTTTTGAAAAGGATTTGGCAAATGTATATTCCTCAATGAAAATATTGAAAAAGGCATCATTTTGTTGAAAGCAGAGAGAAGAATCAATTTTTTGCTAAAAGAGAAAGGCTAATATGTAGAATTTTTATGCGAGTAATGTGAAAATAGAACAACAGATGAAAAGGTGAATGACTGGTCGTGAGTGGCCGACCGGAGTGAGGTTGACAAGCGACTAGCCATTGAAAGATGGGGTTTTCAATCAACACAGTTAATTCCCGACATTTACTCCCTGACAAATGGCTAATCGGTTCGGTTCCTGAAAAAGAACAATCTGTCTTCTATTCACTCTAGTGTGTGTGACATAGTGACATAGATCAGTTGAGGACTGGTAGCAATCGCAGCGCCTAAGTTGTCTTTCAAAGTGTTTGAATGTGGTCAGCACTGGGATAATTCTTTCAGAAAAGGGTCAGTGAATCGAAAGGGTGAGCGCTACTTGTGATTTATTTAGTGGCTTATGCTGACTCTGTTTTCTTTCCAGGGCGGCGATATACGGGACACTGAAAATTTATACAGAGAGGAAAAAAATTGATGAATTTTCTTTAATTCAATAAATTTATTCGAGCAGCGAGACATGTGAGACATTGAAGAACTAGAAAAAATAAATGTGGAAACTTCGGACTTTATCCGAAAGTTAGGTGTACTTCAAAAACATCCGTGTACTCCCCTCAGGGCCGTTCCAAAGAAAAATGAGTATTTTTCTATAACTCAGTCATTTGTTGGCAGATCATTCTCATCTTCGAACTCGACCGAAATATTGACGAGACTGAATCGTGCACAAGATTTCAGCTCGATCTGCCTCTCCGTTCGAAAGTTATCCGATAAACGGACGGACGGACGGACATACAAATACAAACCGATTTTAGTAGTGTACTCACTTTTTGAGTACACCAAAAAGACGATTTTATTTTTCAATCGATAGAATTTTGATGCGGAACATGTGGATATAGAAACTGTAGAGAGAGAGAGAAAAAAACAAGTCATTTTACTTTTGTTAAACAAATAGATTTTTTCGAGCAGCGGGACATGCGGGACATTGAAAAATTAGAAAAAAAGACGATTTTATTTTTCAATCAATAGAATTTTGATGCGGAATATGGGGATACAGAAACTGTAGAGCAGGAAAAAAAAATTTTTTTTTTCTATTCTATTTTCTCTTCTATTTTTTTCGCGCATTTCAAACTCAACTAGACTCTCATGTCAACTGTTACATATATAATTGACTGTCCTTAGTTTAATATAGAAATATTATGTGAGAATTATTTAGAATTCCAGACATGGCGAGATTTTCCTGCGTAAAGTGCACGTTGGGCCATTTTCGTATAATTTAAATAATACTGAGTAAGGTCCAAATAGCACAGCAGAAAATAACGGATCTGCATTTGAAGTGCAAATATTTTTACTTGAATGGTAAATAATAGAAATTTGAACACGCTGATTACATTTTTCTATGTTCCATAACTATAATACTCTCTACATTTCTAATACTTCTATAGGTCACACGGCTACAATAATCGTTGCAGTGCCTGCACCCTGTGTAGCGCCTGTTATGACCTACATCTTATCAGATGTGATCATAAGGATTTTACCATACATAGATCACATGTGCACGATGGTTCTCCTTTCCTGTCATATACATATACATGTTCTCTTCCTCTCTCTCGTCACATACACATATGTATATATGACGAATTTTCTGCTCCTTTCTTCTTCATTTCAAATGATGGATTTATCCTTTTCGATCTCAGTCATCTGGTAAATTTCCAGAAAGCCATGTCAAGGGATCAGTTGATCACTATATAAACTCGGTT